AACACCGCCAAAAGTATTCAATTTCTTACAAAGTTTGTAATGAACGCAATTCCTTTTTCTACCAGAAATATTCCTGCAGCCAATTCACCTATAGGTTAATACCCTTTTAAATTTTTTGTGGTAATAAATATATATTTTTGTGCCCAATTTACCACCGCCTGTTTTATTGTTCATATACGTTTTTGCGGGAATTGAAATAAGTTAAACGAAAAGCTCGAGGATTTTTATGAACTTGCAAATGGACATACTTATAGTTAAATTTAAATAACCTATAAAAATTGTCATCTTTTATATTCGCCAACCGACTGATGGCTAATATTTATTTATTACTAGTTGGAATGATTTATTGTAATCTAGTCATTTTACTAAACAGAATTTAGTAACTAACTACCTACGCTATAAAATTAACTTTAGTATTGTTTGAAAAATTTTTTGCTTAATTTATTATCTTACCATTTGAGAATAAAATTAACTGGTAAAGTGTAAAAATTTCTTAATAAACCTACTTAAATATTTTACAAGCCCATCACCTCGTGCAATTATATACGAATATAACTGTAATAATTAGCAAATAAGTATACATATCTCCACGGATTAAAAAAAACTAGAGACCACCTTACAAGAAGAGAAGGTTATTTAATAGTATTTCCGTTAGAGTGCATATAAAATACCCATTTAATCTGAAATATTATTATAGGTATTAACCCTGAATATTTCGCATTTACCAATTAGAATTTCTCAATTAGTTTTCCGCGCAATAAAAGCGACAATTAAATTCGACTTTGCGTTGTGATTTTACAACTTCGAACGAAACCGACGACTGGCCGTTTATTATTTATAAGATCGACAACTATGCCAGCTATGCCGAACGATCCGCCATGTTCGGAAAAACCGCAACTCGACGCTAGCAGGAAATTAAGCAAAGACAATGCGGTACATAAATTTCATAAAAGCGCCGGGTTTTTTTTCCCACCGGCGGATACTCGTTTCGAAATTAGGAGCCATATAATTCGTTTTATTTCACCACTAGAGGGCAGACGAGCACCGACAAAGTCTCTCTAATGTCATTTAATGGTTTCGGAAATGTTTGCTCGTTTCGTTTACCGCACACTCGGGGCTCTTACTCGGCTCTCTCCTATATCCATAAGATTTGCGACAAGTTATGGTATATAAAATATCTATTTTATTGTTAGCAAAATATTTATCTAATAATTATATAAACAGTTAATGGTATACATGCGCAATTGTGAAAAGAACTTATTAATTCTCTTGTTAAAGAAGACTAAATTAAAGAGTAACAGGGATGAGAAAAATATTTTGATATAGAGAAGATGGTTTTTAAGATTCACATAAAAAACTCTATCTCTCAAGATTCAAAACATAGTTTATTCGATATATTTAACACGTTGAATGTTGTGTTGATGGTCCTGCGGGATTAGTTTGATCTATGCAGGATACAAGTTGGTCATATATCATGATAAAATTGTGCAGTTAAAGGCCTTAAATATAGTCTATACGTTATCAATAGAATCTCCACATAAGAAAGATTATTATTTGCTTACAGAACAAATTTAAGCAACAATTGAAAGGATTAGAAAATTTAGAGCATCGCTAAATAAATTAGGAATATTTTGTACGCTTGATGATCAGAAAAAACTTGTTGGAGAATCGAAGAATATTCATCAGAGCGCCGTTCTTGCGACGATATTGTTGTATTATATACTTTTTCGTTAAACTTTAACCGCAAATATAGTCGTTCGAAATTCGAAAACGAGGTTGAAAAAGCGCGTTGAGGCGCATTCGAATTGGATTTTCTCTTTAAGCCGGACACGAGTGAGTGAGTCGTTTGATGAAGCCATCGTTTTTTCCACTGTTCTACACGTTACGTTTTTTTTTCTTCTTTCGCTATATTTTTACATTACGAGATCGTTAATTTGTTGTAAATAGTTGCTCGGGTCAAGAAACTTGGCGCGTTGCGGCGTCAGTTTGTCAGTTCATCGAGGATTTCTTCACGAATTTTACGGTTCTTCGCATTTAGTAAAAAGCGCTTCCTTTTCTTATTTCGCTTCGGATTTTTAATATTCATGCACTTATTCACCAGAATTTTCTGTTGTTAGATATTTATTGCTCGGAAATCTGTTTTTTTATTCCACTCTAATGCATGGATTTTATCTTTATTGTAGTTATACATTTACATTCAAAATGCTACTATCTAGATACCCGAATTAAATTAGTGCCAAATCTGCGCTATTAAATTAAAAAACAACAAACAACAAACCGATCCCTCGATGCTCACACGCACAGACATTTTTTTAAACGCTTTTAATTTTATGCCTTGCATAGGAATAATAGAAAAAAAAGGGATTTGAAAAAACAACAAACCGCTGTCAGTGCTGTACACAATTCCACCGGAGCGGAACATCCCTTTCATTTAGACGTTCAGCAGACCAAAAAAAAATACGAAAAGATGCTTCGTTATTTTAACGAGAACGATTTAAATTGCGTTTTTTATTGCAAATGGTGCAATTTACGGATATTAAACGATTTAGCTAAATATCCCAAAAGCCATAAAAATTCATATTCACTGAAAAAATTATTGTTCGTAATTTAAATCACAAGCTGTGATTAACCAGAAAAGATTGATTTTAATTACAAATTTCATCTATTTAATCAAACTGAGCATCACGTCAATTATTTTCACAGCATTGTTATAATTACAACGATGGTTATATTAATCACTTAAGCGTACCATTATTAATGTTTATAGAGATTAATGTAAAAATTTTATAATTAAAACAAGGATTTTAAATATTGTAGTAATGTTTTTGATAATTAACCTCGAAAGAATAACTTAATCACATCTAGGCATAGTATTGATGAATAATGAGATCAAACAAAAAAGAAATTAAATAAAATCCAGTTTCAAAGTAATCATACCAATTACTTGTTAGATTGAATTAATGTTAATTTTCATCACATACTATAATAATACTCAAAATAGTAACGACAATTACTTTGAATGATTGATTCAATTGACTGTCTTAGATAGTGCATGTAAAGTATGTACAATGCATGGCTCTGAAATTGCGCCCTGCCTTAAATCAGCGCTTTGAGAGTATATGCAGGTCGAGCAATAGCGAGTTGAATTCGGAAACACTGAATGACTGAATTGAATTCCAAATTTCCAAAAAAATCGACTCGACTGTGCAGATTCGTAGCGATTGCCAGCTTGAAAATATACCAGCTTGAAATAATTGGTAGGACCCATTTTACAAGGACTGATTTAAGACAAGGCGTGATTTCAGAGCCCTGCAATATACATACCTATACCTACTATATTTAGAAAATATCAAATATACAAATATAAAATATTTTTTTAATTTTTGGAATTAATCAAAAAAATGAATTTTAAATGCCGGTGTAATCCGAACAATTACTAATGTGATTAAAATATGCCGTTTCCCGCGCGTTTCTCAAAATAGTCAAAATTTCAATCACCCGGCTAATTGAAATGAAGTCTTTGAAGTATAATATTATTTGATGCTGTTTCCAATAGCTTCGTTTCCCGCGCGTTTCATCATAAAATAGTCAAAATATCAATCACCCGGCTAATTGAAATGAAAAGTCTTCCAACTATTGTTGTCGGCTCTCCCAAAAAATTCTGAGACATGTTTGTATCAGCAGCGCTGTTTGCGCTCCCGTTATACCATTCGCATTAGTTGTTTCCTAATTAGAAATTAAAATTGGCAACACCTTATTGTCCCGCGAAGACGTGAAGGTCAACTATTTTGTCTCTGGGGCTGGGGAGGCGGCCAGCGGCCGTTATTACATTATAGTTGATTTTACAGAAGCCGTTTACCGGTCACGTTGTCGGTTAGCCTATTAATCTATTATTGAATTTGTGCTTGTGTTTGGACTATCTAAAATATTTCAAGTGGCATTAATGATTAATTTTCAGGTAAGTCGAAATCTTTTTTCAATAACCTGGCAGAATTCTTTTCGAGTTTCGAGCTTCTGTGACTGTTTAATCCCTTAATATAGGGTAAATAGTTTTACCCTAATTAAACACATATAGAGCATAGTTTTGAACTCAGCTTCTACACAGCAATTAACTATACAGAGTGTTAGATCGAGCGCGGAGCAATCTCGCTACGAGATAGCCAATACAAAATTCATTAGCGAAACAGAAACAGAATTAAAAATCGCTTGTTTCGATCGCGTATCGCTCGAGCCTCCCTCGAGTGCCTTCTTCTAATATTCTCTCTTAGACATACGTATATGCTCCATTACACCGCCTCTCTCAAATTTTGCTCCGCGCTAGATCTAACACACTGTATATCTACCGTGTTAACCAATAACCAAAAATAGTATAACGTGCTCAGGTACCAGTCTAAAATCCAAATATTTTTTGCCATTTTTACCAACATTAGAGCAAGATCAATGGCCAAAATAAATATACAGTGAGAGTGTAAAGTTTGGAACAAATTCGTTAAATGCTTGGTTTGTCCATTGGGGAAAAAAGCTCGGACACGTCGATTTTTATTTTAAAAAGCGGGTCAGAAAAGGTTGTGAGTGTTTATACAGGATGTCCCAAAAAAGAGATATGGCTATAACTTACATTTTTTTTTAATGGAATGCCCTATTTTTTATTTCATTTTTAGTTTGTACGATGAAAATATACGTAAGTTTCATAAAGGTTTTCTATACCTAAACCTTGCCGTTTTTGAAAAAAATCGAGTTTTGTGATTATGAAGCGCTTATTTTAATGCTCAAATCTCTCATGCAACAAGGCCTCAATCGCAACCGATTCAAGTTGCTCCTAGCCCTGATGTAAACGACGATCATCTACAACTTAAGAGTTTACTTGAATCTTGGAATCAAACACACATATTCGATCACTTAATAGGTATGTTCTATCGTAATAATTTCTTGTATATCTTGTTTCTTGTATATCAAAATGTTCGTTTTTAGCTCAAAATATCACTTTGAAGCTTTTAAAGATGATTAAACCTCATCATATCGAAAGACTGTTAAAACAGTTTGATATGGCGACACAAATTACTTTCGAATATAATTTGGAACTTTGGCGTCAATACGACACAGCCTCTCCTTTGGATGGAATCCTGTTAGCTGGCCCTGAAAGGTCCACATCGCGTCAGTTGTCAGAGTCATCTCGAGTTTCGCCTTACCCATCAAGATGTTCAACACCAGATTCTGAACCAATACGTGTACTATTGTCCGATATTCTTAATGAATCGGCAAAGGCTAAAGTATTAGTAGAATACTATAATAAGTTCCAAATATTTAAAGAAGAACAAAGAAACTCTTTAATAAATGTGGTAGCTCATTATTTTGAAGATAAGGGCATTACCATGTCTTTAGCAGCCAGCTTTGCGATAGAGAGGGACATTATCGAAAAATTCCCGACTGAGAAACTTGTAAGTTTACTATTTACATATTTTTGCTAATTTTGGTACCTTTTTTACCTACTGTCATGCCCTTATTATTTAACAACTATTTCTTTTTTAGGATTATTACAGAACAACCAAACGTGGTAAAATATATAACAAATGGCGTAATTTAAACTCACATTTTAAATGTACGATGACTGAAATAAAACCAAAACCAATTAAAGGACATAAAGTACAACGCTATCAGGAAGAAATTGGTGGTAATAAATGAAATTTCTTAGTATCCGTTTTTCTTATACATATAATGTGTTAATTTTAGAACCAGAGCAGGATGCTGAAACCTGCATAAGCACTTTAAAATATAGTCATTTATCTTCTGACGAATTTGACAGTGTGTGGAAAGCCTGCAGCAATTTCAGGTTGCAGCAAATTAAAACCCTGGAAACAACAACTGCTGTACTGGACGCATGGCCTTTCTACCGACAACCTTCTGGATTTCGTTTGGTATAACTTAATAATAAATAAAAATAAAATAAAAGTACGTTTTTTTTGTATTTTGCATTAATCATTTTCCTGTCTTTAAACCTGTCCTAATAAAGCTTGTCTAATAAAACAGATATCTCCTAAAATTTTTTCTAACAAGCTAATGGATATCTATTTATTACGAAGTAGAACAGAGAGCTAATATTGTGAATAAGGTAAGTCTATCATATTCCACGATGAATATTAAATAACAATCGTCCTTAAATAGAAAATGTGGATTGAATTGTTGATTTTGATTGTTTAATACTAGCAGATACTGGATTTTATTAATATAATAAGCTACTGATTCAATCACAAATATTAATGAAAATGTTACAGGGGCAGCTCGCATCTCAAAAAATAGGGAGTGCTTAGTTAATATGAGATAGGTAACTGATGAACTGATAACTGATAGATGTCACCACATACGCCATAATTAACATATTTATTTATCATATTTTGATATCAGCATTGCACAATTACAATATTAACACATATCAAAGAACTACCATTTTAGTACATACAGACAAGTATAGACAAAAACAGACAAGTACAGACTAGAATAGATAAGTATATACAGACAAGTACAGACAAGTTTCTATCAGTACGGCGCCTGCGTATATAACCCTCAATTTAGTTACAATAATGATTGGGTGGTGGTTAGCAAATATTAATTTTAGCATTTTTTTATTATGATTAATTTAATGAACAAAATGATTACATTGATACCATCGATGATTATATAGTGGTCCGCGGAGATTTGTTTTATTATTTTATTCTAATTAAATTAATAAACATAGTGATTGGATTGATACCAACGATGATCAATTCCATTACTTTATGCTCATTAAATTATAAAATACTATGATTGGACTGATATCAATGATGATCATTTAGTGGCCTACAGAGATCAATTTTATCATTTTATACTGATTAAATTGATAAACAATTTGATTAGATTTATCTCTATTACTAATCACTTACCGGTTTGTAGAGATTAAAATTGATGTCAATATATAAAAGAAATTAATAAATTTATGTGATTGTGTCAATGCTTTGTGATTAGTCAATTACAGGCAACTGATTGCTTCAATCTCGTTGCGTATCGGCTGAGTTTTGATAATCAGAATCATTGATTCAATCCACTTTTTAATTGTATAATGGCTACTTTTTCGTTCAGTGTTTCTGCCAGTTATATGCGGACACACATATACAGTTAATTCCGAGTGTGTTTTGAATAATTTTTATACTGCAATTTGCTGGTATAATGGCACATTGTACTAAGCGATTTTCCGCATTATATCATCGTGAATTTCGTCTTTATTCGAAATACCTGCCAGCGGATTTTTTCCTCGGGTTTAAATAGGCGAATTGTTGCGCGAAACCGCTGCCGGACCGCAGCTTTTAACGCGTCCATTCAGCACCATAACGGCCCTAGCAGACAGACCGATTTTATACATTGCGATACTTTTCGAAATAAGCAACCGCAATCCAATTACGGCGCGCCGCTTTTTATTTTCTTCCTCTCCGTGGGCATGTTTACAACAATTTTTATATATACGATTTTTCCGAACGAGAAAGCCGATATTCCACGGTTGTTTCCCAATAGCTGCAGTGGGAATCAAAGCCAGTGAGCCAGTGGCGTACGAAACTGTTCATTAGAATCTAAAATTTTACAACCCAGACCAATTTTAACGCAAATTAACTAAGCTAATTACCAATTCATTCAATAAGCTTCATCCGATTGTATATTGCCTCACACAAAATTAACTAAAACGAGTAATTACCCAAGTACTACCTCAATTATTCTAGTTATGCGAGTAATTACAGAGCAATTACTTCACAACGAATCAATTAGCTATGTAATCGATTACCCGATTGCTAAATAGATCGAGTAATTGCCAGTGCGCGCCGCCTCTGTTCGATCGATCCGAGCGCATTCTCAGTTTTCTCACAATTGAAAAGTAATTGCGGTGTAGCTGCGGCTACCGAACATTCAAATTTCTAAAGCCGGTTAAAAATTATCTTTGAGACTACGTGATCATCTTCGAATCCCATTCGGGTCTCGTTCTCATCCTTTCTCGCTACCGTATTCGCGTTCGAACAGGGATGGATTGGGAAATTTCCAATCCCATATGGCGTTCGATTTTTTTTTCACTAATTAATAATATCCTGATCGATAGTCGAGGATAAACGGGCTTTTTAGTTAATTGATCGATCGTGGTGGGATTCGATTTTTTTCGGTCGTTTTTGTGGAGATCGTCGGCGGCCTTGGCTTTCCGATTCTAATCCATCAATATCGTCTGGACAAAGGCCCGCGTGAATAGATGCGATTTCACACTCTTCCGTCTATTGAAGGCGATCGTTAAAGGCACAATCGGACGCGAAAGGTCCGCGCCGACCGCACGAGGAGCTACTTAAAAAGGCTTCGAAAATCCCGGGAAAATCGAAAATTGTGCGCGTCAAGATTCGATCGACCAACAGGTCGCTTCTTAGTAAAGATTGAACAGAAGAACTGATAGAGTTGTTGTGTTGGTGGTGCACAAGACAATTACAGTTCTTTTTTTTTTTGGGGGAGCGATAGAGGTGGATTTTTGCGATTTTTCCCAATCGTGTCGATGCCCGCCTCTTTCATAACAATAATTCCACGTGATAGATGATTAGTTCTAGTCTCGAAACACCTTTTACGGCGAGCTAAAGGCGATTCTTGATACGCGTAGACCGTGCCCGGTTATCCGGCCGAGCAACCGGCATCGGCATCATCTCTCGCTCGGACCTCACACGGCGGTTCTTTTTTAATTTAAGACCCGTTTCCCTATCGGCTCCGGCTCGCATTACCGAAGGTGATTTCTTAATACGCAGTCCCGCGACTTCAGCTAACCGATTCTACCAATAACTAACCCCATTGGCTTGTTTGTTTATCGCCTTTTCGGTCGATTGATTCGGCCGAGGGTCGGTTCCGTTTCGGTATAGAAAATGGTTACCTATTTTAGTTTTCGCTATTTTTTAGTCCACTGTATATTAGTAGGTGCCTATAAGTAATATTCCTTTAAAAATTATTAGTCCAATTTTCGGAATAGTTTGGTATAACAGCATGGTTTTCTATACATATGAATGATTTTGGAGTAATTAGATGAGTTAAAAGCATTGAAACGTTTTGTGATATTATAGTTATAGATTTATATACAATTTGGAGTACCTATTTCAAGGAATTATCCAGGAATAATAGAAACTAAATAAACCTTCAAGATTCTTGTTATAAATTTTTCTGTATTTTATTTAGGTTTGTAAAATAGTGAATTTCTCAGATGATTTTACAGTATTTTTGCAATTTTTGGGAATGTTTTACTAAATTAGTAGATTATTTAGGGCAAACATTTTATATACCTTTCTAAATAAGTTCTCAAAGAGTTCCAAACAGCCCTGAAATCGTTCTACAATGGTTCTGAACTCTTCTAGTTTAATCTACAGTGTTCCAAATAGTCTTAAATATATATTCTAAATTATCTCGGATAGTTCTAAATGGTTCTAGAACTGTTTGAAGTGGTCCTAGCCGGTTCTAAAATGGTTCGGGACAATTATAAACAGTTTTGGACAGTTATAGTACACCTAAATGATTCTAAACCTGTACAAAATAATTTGAGCAAGTACACGTTCTGTTATAATGTCATCTCTCACCCTCTCGAGCAATATTACACAATGATCAATAATAATACTCTCTTTCTCTCGCTTGTATTATTCCTATATCGTTTCATATAGTTTTCTAAAAGTTTTTCGAAACCGTTCTAAATAGTCCCGACTCTGTTCTAAATGGTCTCTTTTGATCAATTTATCGTCGACTATTTCAGAAGGTCTTAAGTCATTTGTAAAATGATCCTGGACAGATCTAATAAATGAGTAGGTATAGGTATAATATTTGTCTAATATTTGTTTTGAATTCCTATATAAAAGGTCCACATCGTAGGAACCAAACATTGAAATTGCACAACATGCGGTTAGAATAAAATAAGGAATGCGAAAGTCGGTTTTACCTGCGCTGGTTTCGCCGGTGGTGGAATCGAAGGTCTTGGAGGTCATCTGAAAGAGGGCGTCGAGCGGCGTCGCGCCCGGCTGCTTGCCCTGCTGCTGTTGCTGGTGGTGATGCCGTTGATGCCGTTGCACCGCGACGGGCACGATGTCGGGCGAGCAACAATCGCTGGCCACGCTCGACGACCGGTCACTACCCGTCTCCGACGTGTAACTCACGTTAAAGGCGAATTCCGGCCTCATGAGGGCCAATTGTTGAACTTTCAATTGTCTGTGGAAGTGTTCGAGCCGCTGCTGGTGCGCCTCCAGCTCGGGATCGATGTCCCACGGTCGCACTATACGGTTGCACGACGGTTTCGCGGGTTTGTGGTTGAGAATGTCCGCTATGGAGAAGGATTTCACGCCGTCGGGACGGTTGTCCACTTCGACGGTGGGCGATAGACGTCGCTCGGTTTCCACTTCAACCATCTTGAGCTTCTTGAGCGGTTTGAAGTAGTCCTCGGGCTCGTCGGGACAGCGACAGCTCGGGTCCTGGCGAGGGCTGGTGTAACCGGGAGATGTTTGTAAAGCCGGCGACGGACAACCGACGCTTATCTCATCGTCCGACGTATATTTAGGGTCCTTGGGGTTCGGCGTGGTGGATCTCGACGACGCCGGACTCCCGTCGTACTTGGAGCTCATGTACGGCGACATATTCCTCGGCGAGTTTTCGACGTCTTGCATTGTTCGGAGCCAAGTATATACCCAGCGCACTTCCGCTAACACATGTTTCCCCAACGCGCGATTCTCGATGCACTGTACGTGTGTGAGATGGTCGGTTTGAAGAGAAGGTCGTTGAGACGGACGAGCGAACACCTCGGTCTCGGTATATCGTTAACGGATCTGGTAACGAGTGAAGGTTTACATGTCGGCCGGTGCCGATTAACGGGGGGCCCGCCCAGGCGAGCGGGGCCGCCGCCAAT